CACGCACACTCACACATTCACAAACACACTCACTCACACACACACTCACATACACACAGGCACACAAACACACTGTAATAGTGAAACAGGAAATGACAATATCGTGTATACATACACTGTGTTTGCGTTCCAGTAATCAGGGTTTTCCTCTGGGTCCGCCGACAGAATTCCCTCACCTGTGCAAATAAATATAACACACGTTGCAAAATCAATATTTATAACCAATGCGAAAAGAACATATAACATATATTCACTCGCGACAACGGATACATGTTACACATAACAATAGTTGTGCTAGATCGCAACTTATTCTCCTTAATATAAGAACTGATGCTTTACATAATAAAGTATTAATAATCATTTTTATGAAACATGCCTAGGTATACATAATGATAATTATAACTAGGTTTAATTTCTTCTTAATTATTGTTCTTCCGTAGAGGCGTAATCTAAGCCTAGCATCTATCATCATGATGAGGCTGGATAGGACCTAGCGCCCTATCATATTAATCTATGTTATACTATGCTGTGTGTGTGCGTGCGTGTGTATGTGTGTGTGCGTGCGTGCGTGCGTGCGTGCGTGTGCGTGTGTGCGTGCGTGCGTGTGTGTCCGCGCGCGCGCGCGTGTGTGTGTGTGTGTATTATTTATAAATAATTGTTTTTTTTTCTATATAATATGGATATGCAGCTACGTATGCAATATGTACGTATGAGAAGTTTCCCGCGCGGGAAGAATTGCGCTTCTAGTGATGTCAACAGTAAACAACAATGTCTGACAAAAAAAATGTGCTTTCGACCGACGAGTCCTCCACCGTTTCTCCACATTTTTTTTACGCGCAAGAAATGATTGGAATGCCACATAGACTGACACGCGCTCCGTGTCTGCGCGCATTACCGCGGTTGTGCAACGAGAGCGTGTCACTCTAAACCCTATAGGGGGGGAGAATGTATTTAACGGAAGAGCGGCAAGATTTCTTGTCTTTGATAAACGGGAGAACGTGTGAAGTAGAGAAAGACTGACTGGCGGAAGAAAGACACGATTTCCCTGATAGCTAGCAGCTGGACAAACACAACAAGTACAACATTCTTACTGTTTATACTATAGAAATATAATAGAAATAGAAATAGAAAGAGACATCCCTGTGAAGTTACTAAACGTCAACTAGGATGTCCACGGCGGGGATATTCTAGAGCATTCTCGATGAAAGCGGATCCGGGAGAAGCGGATCCGGGGAAGCGGATCCGGGAGAAGCGGCAAGTCAGAACGCTGTCATCGTTTATAGCGTTATATTTATGATTGATATCGATGACTGCCGGTAGAGGGCGGGCCAGGACATAAACATCGATACCACCGATCATATCACCCAACAGCTCCTCTCACATCTCACAGAGCTTCCCCTCCTTCACTTCTTAACGTCTTCCCCATCCCCTAGCGTCTTCCCGCATCACCCAGCAACTCCCATTTTTTTTCCTCATCTTCCCGTTTTCCCAGCCTAGGCCATAATGATCTTCCCACGTCTCTCCCATCGTCTCGCAGCATCTCCCCATCTACCAGCATCCCCAGTCCAGCATCCCGCCCATCTCCCCCGCATCTCCCAGTTCTCTCCATCATCTCCCAAACTACAGCATCCCCAGCAGCCCCAGCATCCAGCATCCCCCAGCTCCCCGCATCCGCCCGGCATCCCCCAGTTCCTCTAGGGTTCGCAGCTTCCCGCTAGACAGTTGATGGATTTAGCGTCGTCCGTGTTAGCGAAACAGATGAGCATAAGACGCAAACGTGCCGAAATCGCGACTCACTAAGTGCGGGTCACGTGGTGATCTGCTTGCCGCTGCCTGCCTGCTGGTTAAGGCCGGGTCAGCGGGGGACTATAAGCCCCGCGCACGCACGCACGCACGCACGCACGCACGCACGCCACCGCGCTGGATGGAGGCTATGAACGCGCACGCGCGCGCCGCTGGAATGAAGAACTAGGATGAACCGCACGCACCGCACGCACGCACTGCGCCGGCTGAAATGGAGGCCATGAGGCTACCGCACGTCACACGAAGCACGCACGCCACGCACGCACGCGCGCTGAATGGAGATGAGCGGCACGCACGCACACAAGCACGCCACGCACGCACGCACGCGCCGCTGGATGGACGGAGGACGCACGCACGCACGCAACGGCACGCACGCGCTGCGCTAGATGAGAGCGATGAACGCACGCACGCGCGACGCAGCGACGCGCGCTGAGATGGAGGATGAACGCAGGCGCACGCACGCCACACAACAGCACGCACGCACGCACAGTTCTAACAACTGTAATAGTAGCAGCCGCACTTATATATTAGGTTAATCACCCCCCGTTGTCGTTCAAGTTTACGCAAACTGTCATGGCCGCCGCCTGCGTTAAACTTAACCAGCATCAACCACCGGCGGGCAACAGCCAGCAGCAACAAGCAGCAGTATGTAGTTAGTCAGTAGTAGTAGTACAGCAGCAGCAGCAGGCAGTAGCCACAGTAGCACGCAGCCAGCAGCAGTAGCAAGCAGTAAGCAGCAGCAGCGAGTAGTAGTAGGTAGTAGGCAGCAGCAGTCAGCAGCACGCAGCAGCGCCGCAGCAACAGCAGTAGTATCAATAGTATGCAGCAGCAGCAGGCAGCAGCAGCGAGCGAGCAGCCAGCATCAGTAGCAGCAGCATCAGCATGCCAGCAGCAGTAAGCAGTAGGCGAAGCACTCAGCCAGCAGTAGTAGCAGCAGCATTCACGCAGCAGCACAGTAGCAGTAGTAGGCAGCCAGCAGCAGCAGTAGCAGTAGCAGTGCAGTAGCAGCAGTAGCAGTAGGGAGCCAGCAGCAGCTCATGCAGTGCACTAGTAGCAGTATAGCAGCAGCATCAGCAGCCAGCAGCAGTAGCAGTAGTAGCAAGCAGCAGCAGTCTAGTAGCAGCAGCAGCAGCAGCAGCAGCAGTAGCAGTAGTAGCAGCAGCATCAGCAGGCAGCAGCAGTAGCAGTAGTCAGCCAGCAGCCAGTAAGCAGTAGCAGCAGCATCCAAGCCAGCACTGCAGCGTAGCAGTAGCAGCAGCCAGCAGCAGGGCAGCAGCCAGCAGCCAGCGAGTAGTAGCCAGGCGTAGCAGTAGTAAGCAGCAGCATCAGCGCAGCAGGCAGTGAAAGTGAGTAGCCAGTCAGCAGCGCAGTAGCAGCAGCAAGCGCAGCAGCAAGCAGCAGTGCAGTAGCAGCAGCAGCCAGCAAGCAGCAGTAGCAGCAGCAGCAGCAGTAGCAGCAGCAGCAGCCAGCAGTACTTTACTAGCTGATAGCACGCACAACTTACTACGCGCGGCACCTTGTTGCTAATGCGCCACTACCACACACACACACAGCACCACACACATCACACACACACCACCACACACACACACAACACCTACACACAACACACAGCAGCACACAACCAGCAGCAGCAAGCGGCCAGCAGCGCAGAGCGGCAGCAGCGGCAGCAGCGGCGCAGCATCCAAAGCATCGCCCGCTGCCCCGAGGTCTTCACTCCATAACTACCGCCAACAAGAGCAGCTACACGCCGACATGAAAGCTAGAATGGCGCGTACATACGCACGATTTAATGCCCGCAGCGAGAAAGACATATCGGTGTCAGCGNGTGTGTGTGTGTGTGTGTGTGTGTGTGTGTGTGTCTGTCTGTCTGTCTATGCACGGCCAGGTGACGAACCGTGGCCCGCTACCACGGCTCTCATCACCCCGCCGTCACGAACTGTGTATCACACACCACCTAAATCCACGCGACTACTTACATACGTAACTTCAATAACAATAGCGGAGCCCTCTTGCGATACACGGAGCAACTAAACTGGGAAACGTAATACACGACACGGCTTACACGATTGGATGGACGGAAAAACCTGACAGGCGTATGGGTAGCCAATTATATATCGGCTTCCCAATCGAATATCATATTCAATAACTAAATAATTAAACGGTTGGAAGACATTCACACCACACCACAGCGCGGCATCCGTGCTCTAGTTGCACGAGCTATATCTACTAACAATAGAAGCCAAATGTTAGAGGGTAGAGCTATAGTCGTAGCTACATCAATGCTAGCAGTAGCAGCAGCAGCAGCAGCAGTAGTAGCAGCATCAGTAGCAGTAGTAGCAGTAATAGCAGCAGCAGCAGCAGCAACAGCAGCAGCAGCAGCAGCAGTAGTAGTAGTAGTAGTAGCAGCAGCAGCAGCAGCAGCAGCAGCAGCAGCAGCAGCAGCAGCAGCAGTAGTAGTAGTAGTAGTAGTAGCAGCAGCAGCAGCAGCAGCAGCAGTAGTAGCAGCATCAGTAGCAGTAGTAGCAGTAATAGCAGCAGCAGCAACAACAGCAGCAGCAGCAGCAGCAGCAGCAGCAGCAGTAGTAGTAGTAGTAGTAGTAGCAGCAGCAGCAGCAGCAGCAGCAGTAGTAGTAGTAGTAGTAGCAGCAGCAGCAGCAGCAGCAGCAGCAGCAGCATCACCTTTATCAACATCGCGCTTGCTCGGGTTGAAGCCAACAGGTATTGTCGCTGCGCTGCGTGTTATCTAAATAGCACGTGTCAAACAAAGGGAAACATAAACATGTGCTTCGCTCACCGAGTTGATTTCCTGCGACGTCGCCAGCGCAGCAGACCGACAGTAGATGTAAAGAGTCAGCCGACACCACAGTCATCTGCCATATTGTCGATTTCGCAGTCGGTTAGGTCGTGGATGCGGAGTTTAGAGTATGAAGCAAATTGGTTCAGACACACGCAATGATAACATCAAATAAATTAGAGTAAAAATAATAAAATTAAATAAAGTTAAACCAGCCAAATCAATCAAGAG